GGCTGCCGGCCGCCATCTTGGCTGACAGTTAATTTGCATATCTCGCTGATTAGACAATGAAAAGTGTAGCGGTCATACACCAATTACCATGTTTCTCTTTTATTAGTGTAGATTCAAGCTATTCTTACAAATGCATACACAGCTTGTAAAATGGCTTATCAAAAGGAAAAAGGGAAAGCATGCAGCATGAAAATCAGAACATTGGTGAGCTCTAGTGAGGTGTCAGAGGGTACATCTAGGGATTTTGGGTGCTGGTAATGTTTTATTTCTTAATATGGACAGTGATTACACAGGTGATCGCTTTATATTTATTAACTTTGTATATGTGTATGTTTTGTGCACTCTTCTGTGTTACAGTTCACATATTAGAAAAGACTAGATAAAGAAAGGAGGGTATAATTTAGCTAAGTTTTATTCAGAAATGAAGCAAAAAATTGGATGGTAGACCCATTGAGAGATGAGATATATAGAATATACTGTTGTTTATTGTTCCTTCCATCACTTTTAAAAACAGGACATGATGAATAATATTTGTGTACTATTTGAAAAAGCCCTAAAGTTTAGGGCAAAAGTGATGGGAGAGAAAGCAAGGGAATAATTGCTGGAGCTGAGCTCCTCAGCAGAAAGAGTGGATGGGATCAAGAATAATGAGTTGATCTTTGGATAAAGTTGGGGAACCCCTTGTTACTGGCTCAAAGAGTGAGGGTTTGTGGAACAATGGGGTTTAAAATATTTATTTCATTGTGACAGATAGAACTTTTCTTCAGTGGAAGAAGTTGGGCTCTCTTTTTAAGATGACCCTGAAGAAGGTATGATGAGTCTGCATTATCACTATCTCCAAGCAAATGGCCCCTACCCCAGAACAACACTCACCATGGTTCTGTCCTGCCAGGCGGTTCATCAGGTAGGATTTTCCTGTCTGATACACAACTGCAATGGCCACCACCACCACAGGCTGAGAGATGATCTTGTCTAGAATCTCCAGTGCTGTTGGATTTACTATCAGATCATTATTTTGATTTTCTACCAGACAGATGGGGTCCATCATGGTGTATCCAGTGGCCATGGTGAGCTGTAACCCAAAGAAACAATTCTGTACAACACAAGATCCAGAAGTCATATCTAATGGTTATACAAGTCACATGCTTGTCAACTTTCTTGTGCATAGAACTTACAAATCTGTTTCCTACATTTTGTATGCTTCCAAAACTTAAGTATTTAGCCAAATGTGTCAAAGCCTGGCACAGATTCCTAATGTACATTATCATATTGATCTTTAAATAAACCCTAATACAACCTTGCCCATGTGATGCATAAAAGGAATAGAATGAGCAAAACAAAACACTGATGATGGAGCCTTGAGAACATTAACATATTGGGCTTAGGGAGATGGAGAATGGGACATGCAGGAGACAGTAGTGACCAGAGAAGATATGTGGACTTCCAGAATGATTTGGTTTCTCATTAACTGCATACATTCTCTGAGCATCTACCATGTGCTGGGCACTGTTTTATGTGCTCAGTATCAAGTAGTGAACAAAATGGATACCAATTCCTGACTCATGGAGCTCTATTCTAGTGGGAGGAGACAGACAATACAGAAAGCAAATAAGAAACATACGTATATGTACATAAGATGATGGAAATTGCTCAGGAGAAAATAAGCAGGAACTGGGATGGACAGAGTGTGGGCTGAATTTAAATAGAGGGTGGTCAAAATAGGCTTCTCAGAAAAAGACTAATAAATGTTCTCTGTGACCTTGAGGAGGACAAATGAAGTGAATCCTGGGAGCTGTAGCAGTTGGAGGAGGAAAGAATTTGAGAGGAAGAAGACATAGAATGAGGCTTGCTCTCAAAACACCATAAACAGATCTTTATAGGACCCAGATACAGTGATGAATGCGGAAATTCATTTATTTAAACTAGAACAAAAGGAAATTTTTTGTTTCTAGGCTGGCAGGGAAGAGAGGCTGTAGCCAGGGTGATTTCAGGTATGCCGAGAGTTGCCAGAGTCCCACAGCTGGGAGAGGTCCTACTTTAGTGTATTCATCACAGTGGGCATTTCATGCAATTAAGGGACAGTAAGCAGTCAAAGTGTTTTGACTGTCCCTTCACTTCCTCAAAGATAATGCTAAACAATATTCATGTGCTCCATGCTCTCCTAGCTGTGTGCATTGAAAAGAGTAATTTCTCTGTCTGTTTCTTCTTCCATAAAATGGCTACACTAAAAATAACAATTCCTTGGTCATTAAAATCCTTAGAAAGCTTAAATATATGATAAAATGTATAATGCTCTTAAAATTATGGGTTGCATACTGAATCCTCTGTAAGTATTGGCTAAAATTTGAGTATTTAAGAGGGCATGGAGGTTAAGTTCTAAATGAAGGTGAAGATTTGGCTTTGCACTGAACAGTGCCATCTCTTGATCCAATTATGAGCATGTAGAGGACACATCCCATGAGGAGGACTCAGGCAGGACAGGAGCAGCAGTAACAGCTGGAAGGGAGGACACTGAGGGGGGTGAGTCCTGTGGGAGGAACCCAGAGCAGTCCTGGGATGTTGAAGCACAAATTCTAGAGTGGCTACCAGGCTTCAAATCACTTTCTGTCAATGAGACCTTGAAAACGGAACTTACCTCTGTGAGCCTGCATTTTCTTATCAGTGTGATAGATAAAGCAAGAATTCCCACCTGACTCATTACTGTAAGGTCTGGTAACACACAGACTCTCAATAATTAATGATTAATGTGGTGTTTAAGAGCAAGTTAGACAATGTGCTGAAATGTGTTAATATGTTCAATAATTTGCAATTTGTCAACAGATAATAAGGTGTCTAAAATCTCTTTCCAGAAAATAACCAATTTTTTACCCACACTTTTTCTGTACCATCTCTCTCTCTCTCTCTCTCTCCCTCTCTCTCTCTCTCTCTTTATCTCTCTCTCTCTCTCTCTCTTCTATAGGTGATTGGGAGCAGAGGTGGGGAGTAAACATTAGTCTTCTACTGCTGTGTTACAAGAAGGAGGAATTGCAGAGTTTATTTCTTGGACTGAATATTTAAAATTTGGGAGTAATAGATAAATTAACAAACAATTTTTTTTAGGATACACATAAACTGAAATACCCAAAAGCTGTTAAGTTCAAATAAACAAGTAAAATGAAATAGTTCTCCTGTGAAGAGTCAGATGGTTTCCCATGTTTACTCCTTAGAAAAGTTGGTCATGGGAAATGATGGTGAAAACTACCCCAAGCCTTGACTTTTCAGCAGGTATGAGAGGACATTCTGAGATGTTTTTTGTATGGACAACACATCAGAAACAATGCCTGATAAACAAACACTATTAGATTTTATAGTTATTTCTAAGATTTGGTGATTAATTGAATTATTCTATATCACACAGCTTTCTTTGTACTATCTTTGGGCTATTAAGTATTATTAAAAACAAAAATAATCAGAGTTAATCTACTGTCTATAAATTAAAGATCAGTAGGCAGGAATTTAAAGAGAAATCAGGTCCAGGGAAAACGAGTGCCTTTGTCATCTATGTGGGCTCTTGTTTGAGCTGCACTATGCCCACTTTATATTGAGGATCAAAAGCCTACAAAATGCCAAGAGGATTTACCACCACTCCTTCCTCCTGAAGTAGAGCCTGTAAAACCTGTAATACCTAAGGCCCCTATCCTCCTCCTCCGTTGTGAGAAGGCTCATCAACTAGTGAAAATGGGGCTAAAAGTCTATTTACAAAAGGACTCTTTAATGTGTCTGAAAGTTACCATTTGACACCTTGGGACTGGCAGATTTTAGCCAAAAAAACTCTGGAAACAGTCAATATTTGGTATGGAGGGTTGAATATGATGAGATCTGTGAATAACAGGCTGTTTGTGGATGTTCACTGGAGACTCCACCTGGGAGCCCTGTGGGCCACATCTGGTTGTAAGTCCCGGGCAATTTAAAACATCGTCTGAAAGATCCATGAAAAGAATTCTGATTATTAAGTCTTGTCTGTTTGTTATGTGTGCCTGTAAATATAATATATAAGAGTGTCTGTTGATGGTTATTTTATGTCTTTGTTGTTTGGTTTAATTTGTTTAAGAAAAGTTCTTGTCTGTAATGTAACTTGCTTATTGATGTTCTTTGCTTGCTTTCTTATCTTTGGGGGACTTATTCTGCTCTTTGCCATTTTATGAGCATAGGGAATCCTCTGTCTCTGCTGTTAGGGCTTTGCACCTCTCAGAACTCATGTGCTGTGCTGAGTCAGTGTGAGATAAGATTCTAAGGCTAATGTCCCAGTCCACCCTTTCATGAGTACTCATTCCTTTACTGTAGGGTTTTTTTTTTCTGTTTCTCTTTTTAAGATCTCTTCTTATATAAAATATTTCACTTTGTTAGTCTACTCGGAAAGAAAAAAATATGGGAAATAATTATTTAAATCCTCCAAATCTTTTTCCTAGGGAGATTAGACCTGTAGAAGTGCCCTCCAGCAGGATGCAATGTGGGGGCCACTCCCATTTTTGTAAAAAAAATTATTTTAACATTAAAGCCACTGAAGGCTAGTGAGTTATCTCTGCTACAAAATTTGCCAAGAAAATGCCTTGGGTAAAAATAATTGGCTTTAAAATCTCAAAATTGTGAATGCAAAATAAATATAACTAAAATGAAGCTTTTTCAGTATATGACTAAACATAGTTTTCCAAAGTGTTTGGTAACTTAAAACTTTGGAGTTTAGAGGAGTGAAAATATTGGCTGGCAAGCTGGAGGTGAGGGAGAGGGTGTTAGTGAGTGAGGGGGTGAAAGGAGAGTGTGTGAATGTGTGTGGTGTGTGTGTGAGTGAGGGAGGGACAGTTAAATCCAGCAGGAGTAGCGGGGCTGGCAGACCAGGCTCTCCTGGACAGGGAGCACCTACCACTGCTGCGGGCTCCCTGGGCTACAGGGCTTAGGCACAGAACTCTCTCCATCTTGAAGTGGAGAGTGGCCTCTTTTAGGAACTCATCAGCACTACCACCTAGACTGGCCATAAACACTGCCCGTGACCCTGCAACCACTCCAGCCAAAATCCTGCTGCCCCACCAGCAGACCTACAGACCCTAGGAATTCCACCTCCAAGGGTGCACGGTTCCTGCAGCAGTAAGTGAGACTCCCCACTCTGTGGCTGCTGACTGCCGGACACCACAACCACGCCTTTCCAGCATGCAGGACTCCTGAGCCCACCTCCCCAAAGGTGTCTCTTGGGTGCCGCTGAAGGACCGCTGGGCGCACTTGTATCCAAACAATGGCACATGGCCCTGGCAGTAGAAATTGGGGCTACCCCCTTCCCGGCTGCCTGCCCACGGATGTTACAGGTCATGTAGCTTCAGCATGAGGGCCCCTATGAGTGCTCCACCTTGGCAAAGGGCCTCCAGGTGCCTCTGTGAGCCACCACTGGGCAGGCATGAATCCAACCAAGGTTGCAAGGTCCCAGCAGCAAAAACTGAGTCTTCCCAATCCACAGTTGCCGACTGCCAGACACCACAGTCACACCTTTCCAGTGCACAGGCCTCCTGAGCCCACCACCTCAAAAGGCAGCACTGAGCACCAGTGACTTGACTCCTGGTGTGCACACACCGGGACTCTGTTTTTCATCAGTGGGCATGGGAACCCTGATTTTCAGTGCATGCACACTGAGTGCCAGTGACTCCAATTCTCAGTGCAAGCATACACAGGGACCCTGATTCTCAGCACGAGGCCGCACAAAGTGAAAGAGACTCCAATACTTGATTCTCGGTGTGTGCACACAGGGACTCTCACTCCTGGCACGCACTAAGGTACTCTGATTTTCAGTGCACATCTGTGGGTACTTTTTTTTTCTTTTTCAGGGCAGCACATGTGGGGTCCATGATTCTAGGTGCCCTCACAAGCCCATATTGAGCACAGGTGACTCTGATCCTCGGCACACATGGCACCCACTGACCCACAATAGCCACACATCTTGGTGTCGGAGCTCTTCAGTGATATTCTGGTGGCGTGATGCTTCCACTGCACATGGCTCAGTCCCCCACAACTCAGTGTTTGGACCTTCTGAGGATAGTTAGA